AATCTTGTGAGAAACCCTATTCATCATGTAATGCTGGCTTATAATGATAATCTTTCAGTGTAGCTGTGTATAAAACCATTCTAACAAGCTGTTGAGCACTTAGTCCTGTGCTCTGCGGGCCTTGTGATTTATGTTGTGTTTGGAAGTAGCTAGCATATCTGTTCAGAGAAAGGAGGCTGTGTTTGTAGCTCTGACTGTTGAATTTGAAGCTCATCCTGTAGTGCTCCGCTGCTGCTGTATGCATTTACTATCCTACATTTAAATATAGCATCCAAAGCATTGCATAAGGACCGAGAAACATAGCTCTGGTGTGACATATACTTTGCAAGGCCCTCTCTGCTCTTGGGTGTTAAACCTGGAAAATCTGAAAGCTAGTGTGAAGTCATATATATTCAAACAGGAGAGCATGTCTGTGTTACTTTGATTATAATTGTTTTCTTGCAATCATAGAATCGTTAAGGTTGGAAAAGACCACTAAGATCATCTAATCCAACCATCAGCCCTTCACCACCATGCCCTCTAAACCATGTCCCTCAGTGCCATGTCTGCATGTTTCTTGAACACAGTGCTCAAACCATTGAAATGGCCCCATCTTCTAGCAAAGCAAGGGGCAGGAGGATAAGTGGAAGGACCAAGGAGAATTTCTTTTAGCCAGTTTATCTTTCCTGGCTTCTCAAATCAACCTCAGATGAACTAGAAAGCGCTGCTTGCGATGTTGGATCCTGGAATCCATGCAGCTCTGTGCTGGGTTGATTAATTCCTGCTCACAGAGCCTAATCCAGGCTCTACTCCATGGGTGGGGGATCATTAGCTGTGTCTGTTTTATCTGTCTTGGTGTATAGGAACTGCATCTGCTCTGTTTCTCTTGCTGGGCTTAAACCTTTAGTGGCTTGGAGTTGCAATGTGGAAAGCACTGCATGGTCCTTTTTAAAAAAAAATGTCTGGAAGGTGCTTTATTTTTAATTTTAGTACGTTCTTATCTTCACTGTGGCTTCCAGCTTCACTGAAGGTAAGTGTGAGCATCCATTCCATGGTTGTTATCAGTACATGGGAATCTTTGTACCTGGTATCAGTAAGGCTCTGAAAAAGTGATAGGCTTATGTTAAATGGAGTCACTTTCCCCTCTTTTGCCCCTTTTCTTTTCCCACTTGGCCCTGTCTTTCAGGTACATTGTGGTACTTGCCTTCAAAGATTGTATTTAACACCATTGGTGTTTAATGCTTCCCCCCCCCACCACTTCAAGGCAAGTATTCTTCCAGGTATGTGACTACAAACAATGCAGAGGGAACAGTCTCAGCAGAGATCTGCACGGTGATGTTTGTTATCTCTTTGAAGCTGCCTTTTTCTTAAGACTCTTTTGATATTTAGGTATTTCCTCCCCTCTTTTCCTTTTCTGGTGCATCTTTGCCAGGATAACTAAACGGCTAGTGACAAACTAGTGTCAAATTAGTGACCTCAGAATTATTTCCTTGGCAACATGAGGGCGCATTTGACATCACAGCATGAAGAAGCAGTTTATAATCTACGGCAAAACCAGCTTAAGGAGGGGCTTCTGTTTTTGTTTTCTACCATTTATCTCCTCACCTCTAGCTGTCCATTCCTGCCCATGTACTCCTAGCTTGCATCCTCTCCAGAGGTGCTGATACAAGTGTTTGTGGGCTTTCCTCTGGAAGTGAAATCACGGAAATGGTTTGAGTCGACAGTCCTCTTCCATTTTTTTCTGTCTTACAGCAGTCACACCCTGCAAACTTTTGTTTTGGTTGCTAAAAGGGAAGCAAACTGTAGGCTTTCCCAGTGTGGGAATGAGCAGCTGGGGAAAGAGGAAGAGCTGCTGGGAGGTGCTTACCCTCAGTGCAGGAATCACAAAACTGCGTGCTGTTTGTACAAATAGGCTTGAGAGTTTCAGCTGTGAAGCTGCTCTCTTTTTCCCACTTTACCATGCATTGATACAGAGCTCTCTATTGCATTAGCTGTGCAAAAAAATTGTTGCTTCTATAAATTGTGTCGTCTTTGGCTGTTCTTTCTGCTACCAGAGTCATTTCCATCATAAGAGAATATCTTTCTTAATTACGCTTGATATTGTGTAAGGAAATCGTGTTTCATCATGTCGGATTGTGGTCCAGGTTTTGTTCTGGCTGAGCTGGTACAAATCTCACGCGTCTTTGCCAGCGTTGGTGCAGTGTCTTTAGTGGGGGAAGTCAGTTTGCATAGAGGATCAGGAGCAGAGTATCAGTCACTGCAGAGAGATTGTACTGGTGGAGCTGAACTAACAGTGAGGACTGACAGAGATTTTATCAGAGTCCAAACTTCTCTTATGAGGAATACATTCATGTTAAAGGCCAACTAAGTGCTGCAACAGCACATTTCCAAGAAAGTTGCCGTATTGCGAATGAAGATGGACTGTGAAGGGACTCTGTGGCATATACACATTTGGACCAGGCTCATTCAGCAGCTGTCATCAGTTCCAATAGTCCATTTGTTTTTAGATTTCTGAAGTTAAAACTTTTCCAAGGAGCAGCGTGTAAAACAGGACGACCTGTAGAAAGCTAGAACTCCAGCCAAAAGACACCTCCTTTTTGTGTCTGCATGTTGCAGCTGTCTATCTCTTGGCAGCAGGCAGCGTGGTGTAGAATGGGATGTTTCAGCGCTGAAGCATGAAAGAGTGAATTAAGGAGTCCAGGGCTTAAAATGGTTTTCTTCTCTAGGGGATTTCAGTCTTCATCATCGCTTAATTATTTGGAGGCTATTTGCAGAGGTGTTTATTTCTTTCAGTAATTCTTTATACTCAAAATATGAGAAACTAAGGTCACTAACTCTTTTGTCAGTTGTTCTACAGTCTAGTAATCAGATGAATTATAGTCAGTTGCATTGATACCCAGCTGGGAGGAAGTAAGAAAAAGAGGATGTGTGTATTTCTTAAGGGGAAGAGAGGAGGAAAGAAGAGGCTTCACTCTCTTGAGTGTTATCAGTGAAACAGACTCGTGTATAAGCCTGATGTTGTTTTAGTTCTGGAATGTCAGTGCAGGTAATGTCATTTCAGTGTTGCTTATGTTGTTTCTGTACAAACTATGGATGGCATCATGACACCTTTAATCTCCCCTACTTACACCTGGAAAAAGAGAAAACTTAGCAAAATGAGCCAACATAGATTGACTCGGTCTGACAACGTGACACTGGGAACAGCTGTGTTCCAGGGCATGTAGGTGTCCAGCAGAATGGCACAAGAGAGGTGAGATGACCCACTGCAGGGTTTCCAGGTGAGAGCTGTTTGTTTGTACAAGCAGTCAGTTAGGTGGGTGTTCTTGGAATGCTGCATGGACACGGTGTCTGAGGAGTCAGAGCCCACCATTCCTGCACGTAGGGCTGGAGGAACATCAGCCATCCACGCAGTGCATACTCTCACACCAACTCCTTGCCTTTTGCCTGGGCTTTTGGTTATTCCAGCCTTGTCTGGGACACTATTTCCTTTTTTTTTTTTTTGTAGAGGTACAGTTACCCACCTGCACTGTTGCAGTCAAGTAGACCTGAGTAGGCAGGCAGGGGCTGGTTGTGCCGCCTTTGTGCTGGCCAGGATCGCACATGTCTGCTTTGAAGATGGTCGCTCAACTTCCGTGAAGTCTGTAAGTCACCTTGGAGAGATGAGAAGGATGAGCACTTGGTGCCTGAGGCCCGGCTGTTAGGCTGCACTTCCCTTGCGCAGTGCAGGGCTGCCTGGCCACGATCTTGCAGCAAATGGAGGAAGTGGTGCTGGCAGCGGCCCTGATGCTGGATCTCCTTGCACCGGGGGGCTGAATGCGGGTCGCATAGAGCGCCAGGGCGGAGACAACAGGAACAACCCAAATTTGTGGGCTGTGGGTGAAGTGAGACCAACTTTCCAGAGCACTTTGCTGTGGAGGGACAGAGATTGTTTCTGCAGACGGGCAGCATGGAAAGTACCACGGGAAGGAGCTGGGGAAGGATGGAGGGGGCCGGACGCTGCTCTGCCTGCTTGCTGACTAAACAGTTATGTCAGCTGGCAGTCGGAGCAGCCTGGGGATTTGCGATAGCTCCTGGAGGGTGGGGGCGGGTGTGCGGGGGGAAGGGAGGGGAAGGGAAGGGCCGGCCATGCGGCAGCAGCAACTGCTGCTCCTGCTTGCCCTGACGCAAGGGACAGAGGCCTGGCTGCAGGCCTTGCTGGGAAGCCTTCACAGCCTTGCCCAAGCAACGAGGAACATGCTTGTTGAAACAGTCACAGCATCTCAGAGTGCAGGAAGGCCTTCCAGCCTTGCCTGCTGAGCTGCACACACGTCACACCCGGCACAAGGAGCCCGGCGAGCTGGGTGTTGCTGCCAGGTGCTGCAGCAGCGCTGTGGGATGGAGGAACCCCTGTGTCCCCCTTTCTGTGCTCACAGCAGTCCCAAATAGTGGTGTTGAAACTGCACAGAAGTGCTACCTGCTGTCCTGCCACAGGGACAGCCCTCCCCGTGCGAGCTGCTGGAAAGTGGACTGTGAATCCTGGCTGCCGTTCAAGTTAAGTGTTTCCTTCCTTGGCCTTGAAGGCAGATGGAGTCCAGGCTAGTCTTTGGGCAGAGCGGGAGGCATTTATAATGATTCCTGCAGGTTGCTGGTGTTTAAATCCCGTTTTTCTGTTCTTGTTTTGTTTTCCATAAATCGGGTGCTGTAAAACTGGAGTAGCCTTGGAGCAGCTGTGGCTTTTCACTTGCGTGCTTTCCCCTCCTCCTCCTCCCCCCACCAGCAGTAAGTGAAGGACGGGTTGCATGTGAATCACCTCTGCGCCTACCTCACTTCTCCTGTCCCAGCAGCAAAAGACAGAGGAGGCCCCTGTCCTGACAGGCAGAAAGGGCGTGTGTCTCAATTGTGTGAGGTCAGCTGAGTTAGCTGAACGCAGTAAAAAAACACGGAGCCCTCTTGATGCTCTCAGGTACAGCCTGCCGTGTCTGAAGCCGTGCTTAGAATCATAGAATCACAGCTTGTGGCTGTGTGAGACCATCTAATGTGTTAACCTGCGTCTTAATGAACGTTAAGGTGGATTTTTAGAAATGTTAATCTGACTCAGTTGAGCTAACATAATGGTAGTTCTCAGTGAACCTGCCTTGCCCATATGGACAAGCTTGCTTAAGTTAGCAGGACAAGCACCAGCCTTTCTAATGGCCTAGTTAAGATGATTTAAGATGATTTGTCCCTTTTTTTTTTTTCACAGAGGTAAATGCACCATGCAAGATGAGCAAAGGCCATAGGAAAAATGTTCATATTTGCGATGTTGAAATCTATGGATCTAAACCAGGAGATGCTTTGTTTTGCCTTTGTGCAGCTCTCATCACCTTGGTGCAGTTCTCACATGGGTGTGTTGTGCCTGGCACTCCTTCACAGCACACCTGAATGCTATTCTATGCACGAGTTAAATGGCAGCATGATTGCATTGTACCTTGAAATGCTTTGCTGAGCGGCCTTACAGATGACAAGGGCAGCTGAGCTCCTGGCAGTTTGTTCAGAGCTATTTAGGAGTTTGCTAGTTAGTGTGGCAAGGGTAGAAGGCACTAAAATACCTATGTGATACCTCAGTCTTTCTTCTTTTAAATGTTCCACTTATGACAGACCAGAAGAGCAAGCACTTGATGAGAGAGTGTTAAATCTAATAAAATTTGAACCCCTCAACATCTAGGTCTTTTTCCTGCTTAGAGTAGGTAAAAAGGCTTGGTTTTGTTTTGGCTTTATTTTGAAGCTGGGGAAAAAGTCTCTTGCAGATAGGAAACCACTCAGAAGTTACTGTTAAGCCAGTATTGTCTGGTTTTTAAAGCAGTCAGGTGGTCCATGGTTCTCTGAAGGTGAAATGACTTTGAAATGAGGGGTATGTAACTGCTTGAGTACTTGGACACAGGGCCTGAAATGCTGTATAACTGCAATTCCTGCTGGCTTCACAAGGAAAGCTTCTGGAAACGGCTCTTGATGCACTAGGCACAAAGCACTACAAGTGCAGGTAAATAGTTCTCTGAAATATTTTGGCACGCTGAGAAAACTTCAGTGAGTGCTACTTGGAAGCTGAGCCCTAGACTTTTTGTGACTAAGATCGGTTTAAATAGGTGAGTTTTTCTAACTTCTGTGTGTACGAGAGAGGGGAACACAAGGGCAATTAAAAAAAAAAAATAATAATTGGAGAGAAGGCCTCCCTGCTGACCTGGGAGATGTGCTTGACCTCCTTAGCCTTACGCACTTGTCTGTGGTTTTCAGCCAAAGGCTGCCACTTTGAGAGAGGCTTGCTTCTCGTGCTGAACTATTTTTTGACGCAGTGAATGAATGCAATATGTTAACGCTCCTGTAAGTCCCAGAATTGCTTGGCTGCCCCTTGCCCTGCCTGCCTCACACTGGCTGAAAAGGTACCATTGTTTGTTCTGCAAACAGAGGGTGATGTTTGTTTCCAAGGTGACTGTGGCTCTGTTGCTGCCCTCTAGAACAAAATTAAAATGGCTTTAAACACCTGAGAGCATCCCTCTGTCGCTAGAGATGGTGGGAAGGAGGGAAGAGCTGTTTGGTGGTGATCTCTGGACTGGTTATTGGAAAAAAGAGGAAATTTCAGTTCGCTAAGAAGTGGCAATGCATGCATTTGGGTTATATTACAAAACATTATCCATAAATAGTACACAGATACAGCCATTGAAACACTTGTTAATACTAGGGATGCCAGCAAACGTAAGATCTTCCAAACATCCTGGTCAAATGTTCATTATTGTTTCAGTTTACAGTAGGAATATTCTGTTTCTTCAGTTACTTAAATCAGAGGATGCATTGAAGATATTGCTCAAGTGAAGATGTATCAGCTTCCTAAAAGGAAAGCTGGAAGGGAATATTAGCAGTTCTGCTGGACTTGTGGATTTTCAGATTGTTTTGGAAAATGATTATACATATCCCCAGAGAGAAACTCCCAGCAGTCAGTTCTTCCGTTGCTTTTGTGCATTCTTGCATTCCATCATTCTACCTATATGATTCTCAGAGTAGTGCCTTGCTTTTAGGCATCCAGGTGGATGGATTAGAAGCATTTTAGCGTGCTCTCCCAGTGCTGCCTGCTGATCTACTGACATGTCTGTTTAGTATAGGGGAGAGGGGAGATAAGTTGGGGAGAAAAAAAAAACAAACTTTTTAATTGGTCACGGATGCTGCTAGCAGAACTTTGCCTTCTTCCCCATCAGGTTTAGTACAGTTCATACACCGGTTTCAGTAAACATTAACCACTTTTATCAGGGCTCACAGCATGTTGAATGGTTAGCAAAGAGCATGTACTGAGAGGGACAGAGAAAATGAACAAGTCCAAGGTCAAAAGGATGGTAGATTTTTCCTTCAGTAGAGTACATGGTGGAGAAGATTGGTGATACTTGGTGGAAAAAGTAGGTCTGTGTGAGAAACCTGGTTCTTGTTCTTTGGCTTTTGTCTAAGTGGGGTGTTCTGTGAGAAGGATGTGCATCATTAGTATTTCTCTGCTTTAGTGGGATCTTCAGAGGTTGTCAGCTTTCTTTGTGCTCGTACTCAGGGTAACATGAACTCTTTATGCCCTGGACCAATCCCGAGCAAAGTATGATCTCTGCTATCACTGTCGTATCCTTATATAGACCTGCTCCTGCCCAGGATCCACAAAACTTGCATTGATTTCAGCAGGAAGTCACAGGCAACAGGAGGTTGTGATTTCCTCCCCTCCCTGTCTGCATGAAGCAGTGATACAAAGCCATCCTGATCAGAAGAGAAGGCTAAGAAACTGTGTGGTTTTGCAGTTTGCCTCACCTTTCTTTCTAATGGGTGGCTTGGATGTTTTGTTATCACTTCTGAGGGGTGCAGCACTGCTAGTTTTGCTGCAAAGTGATTTGCTGTAGTGATGAAAAAACAGTTGATCAGCTTAGCAATAAAAATGGGAAAACTGTACTTAAGTAAATGATTTGAAGTTGAGATGTGAAAGTTTTGAAAAGAACGTGAGCTACCTCAGTGAACTTTGTTGAAGCATCTGATCACAGGATCAAGAGTTGTAGGGCTTGGAAGGGACCTTGGGGGATCAAGAGGTCCAGTTCTCCTGCTAAGGCAGGTTCCTTGCAGTGCGTTACACAGATAGGTGTTCGGGTGGATCTTGACCATCTCCAGAGAAGGAGACTCTACAGCCTTTCTGGACAGCCTGTGCCAGTGCTCTGTCACCCTTAAAGTAAAAAGGTTGTGGTTTTTTTTGTTGGTTTTTTTTTTTCTTTTTTTTTTTAAGTTCAAAAGGAACTTTCTGTGTTCCAGTTTCTGCCCATTGCCCTTTGTCGTGTCACTGGACAGTGCTGAAAAGAGCCTGGCCCCATCCTCTCGTCTTCTATCTTTCAGATATTCATAGGCATTGATATGATCCTCCCTCAGTCTTTTCCAGGCCAAACAGCCCCAGATCTCTCAGCCTTTTCTTACAAGGGAGATGTTCCCAGGCACCATCTTGGTGGCCCTCCACTGGATTCTCTCTAGAAGTTCCCTGTCTTTCTGGAACCGAGGAGCCCAGATGTGGATCCAGAACTTAAGATGTGGCCTCAGCAGGGCAGAGTAGAGGAAGAGAAAAACTTCCCTTGAACTGTTGGCAAATTCTGTAGTTATTTTTAATTGTGCAAATCAACATCTCCTGTCCCTCTTAACTCCAGTCAAATAACGTTTTGCGAAAGAAAGAAGCAGCAGTGTTCACCTGCATGTTTCCTAGAAGATAAAATTATTGAGAGGTTGTAGTCACTGGGAAAACACAGATTTCCTCAAATGACACATCAAACACAAAAGAAATCCAAACCGCGTGTGAATGATCTGACAGTAGTTTGAGAAGCACCCTCTGCTGCATGCCCCTCAAATCAGAAACGTGTGCACATGGTTGAAAATCTCATCTTTGTGGTGACACAGATGATTCAGTGCAGGAAATGAGAAGAATCTCATTCAGCAGCTAAGCATTTGTGGGGTGGGGGTGTGAGGTTCATGGTGTTCAGCGCACCCAGCTAGAGAGTTTCGGGCTCCTTTCTCTCCTGAATTTTCTGCTGATTTAAATCAAGGCTGCTACCTGAAGCATCGGTGTGAGATGCAAATCCTTTCTTCTTCATTCTACTTGGATCAGCTGAGAGAGCAAAGAAAGACAAGAAGGGAATCTGTAGCTGCTGCCTTTTGAGTTTTAACTGCAGGTGTTAGCAGGGCCTTGTGATGAAAGGTGCAGGGTGGGCAGGCTGGTGGATGGAGACTGCTGCGGCGGCACTGCTTGTGGTCCATGTCCTTCCTCCAGCAGTGGCCACGTGTCCAGCATCAGCCCTGTGCTAGGGGTGATGGAAGGAGAGAAGCTGTGGGTGAGGGCTTGCAATTGCAGCCTCTTCGAAGTTGCTCTAGTTTGTCTAAATTTAAAATATGGACTGTGGTTTTGGTCTTAAATATTTGTGGGATTTCAGCAAACCACTACAAAGTAAACAGCAGCTAAAAGTGACACATTTAAGGCAGGATTTCTTTTTTATTTTTCTTTTGTAAGGTGATGTGGACACTCGTGTCCTGTGACTCAGTGTTCAGATTGAAGACATTTTCTAGATCTGAGAAACTCTTTGTTCATCTCTTATTCACAAGATTCCCTTAAAGAGCTTTACAGTTTTTCAGGCCGGTGTGTAATTTTCTTTCTAACTGTACTTTTGTTCTTCCATCGCTGCCCAAGTGATTTCTCCTCCCTCTCTGAATGACACAAAAAATCTCCCTGCCTTTCTTAACGAGCAGGTCATGTGTGGTATTAGCAGCTTTTGTGCAAGTCTGTGAAGAGAAACTGAATCGTATGTGCAAGGTGATCGTCCCCCTGTAATCAGCATTTCAAGTACTGTGTTCGATTTTGGGCCTCCCACTACAAGAAAGACATTGAGGCCCTGGCGTGTGTCCAGAGAAGGGCAGTGAAGCTACGAGGGGTCTGGAGCACAAGGCTTATGGGGAGCAGCTGAGCTGGCAGTGTTCAGTCTGGAGAAGAGGAGGCTCAGGTGAGGCATTATCACTGTCTGCAGCTCCCTGAAAGGTGACTGTAGTGAGGTGGAGGTCAGCTTCTGTTCCTAGGTCACAGCGACAGGATGGAGGTAATGGCTGTAAGTTGTGCCAGGGGAGGTTCGGGTTGGATACCAGGAAAAAGAAAGAGTGGTGAGGCAGTGGCACAGGCTGCACAGAGAGGTGGTTGAGTCACTGTCACTAGAGGCGTCCAAGAAACGTGGATGTGGCATTGAGGGACATGGTTAGTGGGCACGGGGGGGCGGTTGGACTAGATGAGCCTAGTGAACTTCTCCAACCTTCATGATTCTATGAATTTGAATTCTAAAATATATTGATTTAGTACTAAGGGCAAGTTTAATGGGAACGTGTGTGTAAACTTTTGCCTTGTCTGGAAACTTTCCAAGGAATAAAGCAGGAAAGACGGTTTTTAGATTGTTTTAATGCCTCTGCAAAGGCATTAGCAGTTGTGTAGCTACTGTTAGTCCTCAACTGATAACAAGCACTAATGAAGTGGTTTTTCATGAAGTTTTATTGAGATTATTTATGCAAATACAGTGCAGTGTTTATTGCAATAGCAATTATTTACAATTCTCAGTTGGTAAACCAAAGCATTACCATTCATCTCTGGTACCTTGATACCAGTAGAAAGCCTGCTCAGTTTTCCCTGTTACAACTGGCTGGGTGTGCTCCCGGCTTTTGTTCCTCATTTCCAACAGACTCACAGGTTTTCTCTGCTCGTATCACAGAGGCACAGGAAGGGCTTGCTCTTGATGAACCACTCATCCTGTTTTTAGAAAAGAAAAAAAAAGTCCTGTGGAAAAACACGTATACTGGCAGTGCCACAGTCCTGTTCATGAAGGGATCTCAACAAACGGTCAGGTACACTGTGGGCAGGAAGAATTGCACATCCCTTTCTAGATACCCCTACAGAATCTTCAGTGCATTCTCTTAAATCTTTGGTGTAGAAAGTCCTTTGATAGAGGCTCACTCTGTCAACCCTTACCCAAACTATCTGTCATCTGTCCTTTAACTGGATCTTTCCCATCTGGGGAAGACATCTCTTTACTCCACAACCACCGTGTTCAGGCTCAACTCGCTACAAAGTTTTTGTCTTCCTTTCAGATATGAGAGACCTCTGTGCCGTGCAAATGCTTGCAGGAAACACAGTGCATGCCTTGCTGTAGCCTTGGGGCAGCCAAGAGTGATTGGTGAGACATTTCTCATTTTTGATCAGTGTGCAGACAGGCCTTAGCTCATTTCTCCTCTTAGAGAAACTCTCACTGGCCTTGCCACTGAACTTCAGGTACGATCTGTGATTTTGGGGTTGGTTTTTAATGGCCAGTCTCAGTAGAACAGAGGAGGTTGTATGTATTTATTAAGATGCTGTACTTTTATTAACGTGCTGAACTTTCATGTTCACTTCTGTGAGTGTCTCACGTATCTGAGGTCTAAGCAGGATTTGACTGCAGTTTGGGGAGGCCTGGTACCCACTTCCTGGGATGAGGGCAGACAGTACGGCATGGCCCCATTCTGCAGCAGGACCTGGGCACCCACAGATACTGTGTGCACACAAGGGACATTCTGGGACTTTAGGAGTACACCCACAGCCTGCATCTGGCAGCCCTGAGGCCAGGAGCACTGTGAAGTGGGAAGCGTAAGGCGTATGACCTGCTGTTCCTGTAGGAGCCTGGTCAGGGCTGGCACTCTGGTGGGATTTCTCCATCCTGTGGCTTGTTGGTAGACACCCAGGTGTGGTTGTTAACCATGTAAATCCTCCTGATTGGCCACACAGGGCCAGCATCCCCATGATGAGATAGCAGGGGGCCCAGCAAAGTTCCCCAGGCAAAGAGCCTAGGTTGCTTCAGCCTCCAAGCTCTGGTGGAGGGTCGTACATTGAAAGCACTAGCGACTTCCTTGTTAGGATGCAGACTCTTTAAATTTTTATTAAAGGGATTGTCTGTGCTGACATTTAGCTAGCACCAGATGTTGGCTTTTCGTTACCAGTGTGAAGGTGGCATAGCTAATAAAGGCGAGGGTAAGAGACTTGTGTGAAGCTGTCAGATGCGGCATTGTGTGCTGCAGCCTGCTTGATGCCTGTCGTGTCTTCATGGGCCAGTGTTCTACAAGAAGAGTGGCGTTTCTCTTCTTCCTTTTCTTTTGCACTCTTGACTGGCCAAGTGTTTTCCAAGTGCATGTCTTTTTCAGGTGGCGTTGCTCATTTGTGCTAGCTAATGCAGTCAGAGTACAAAGGTAGCTCAGTGGCAGTTTGACTTATTCCTTGTATTTTCATTTTTCTTCTGCACATAACTTTCCTGTAGATCATACTTCTCCCCCTCAACCTCTTTTTACCATCCCCTCCCTCAGAAAATGTCAGCAACTGATTGTTTCCTTT